AAGCTGCTTCGTGCCCCCTTGCTTGGTCAGCTACTTTTCTTATACACCCCAGGTCCACCTGCCTAGGGATGACCCCACCCACAGAGGGCTGGCCCTTGGATAGCAATTAGCCACAGGCCCAACCAGTCTAGGCAGTACCTCAGTGGAGGTTTCCTATCCACAGGTCACTCTAGGTCACCTCACGTTCACAACTCACACTACGTATGACGCTCCTGGATTGAAGTCAGTCAGTTCTACAAGGTTTGCGGAAACCATAAAAAGCCCCAGCGCCCTTTGTCCCTCAAAGTATTGACTTTTAACTCACTAGGCAATTCTTCTGTCATTGATCTCTGTGTTTCTGAATTACGTACTTAACATTGCTACTTCTTTGGAAGTACTATTGCCTGTGAGTCAGCTCTTTTCCCCACACCACACAAAGGTAAACACCTGCACACACGCGTACACACACACACGCACACACACAAACATACACACACACACACACACACATACCTTGCCATTCTCCCAATCTTTAGAGTATTTCTAATCAAGTGACTGTAACCGCTACATGGTTACAGTCATGAAATAAACTACGAATCATTTGTTCCCTCTTCATGTTTTTAGTTTTCCCTGGATTAAAACTTTTTTTTCTCCTCCGCTTGGTTTTTGTTTTTGTTTAAAAGCTCATTTTCTCAACCGCTGTCTACATATTCTTTTAGCACTCATATTAGAGGTCAATTAACTGTGTTCTCAACCAGAGCTGCCTTGCAGGCTGCCCTCTGGACCACTGCATTGCTCCACCACTGTCCTGAGAGCCCTGCCGGCAAATATGTCTTCTGTGCATCATATGTGTGTCTTGTACCTGCAGAGGCCAGAAGGCATTGGGTCCCCTGGAACTGGAGTTACAGATGGTTGTGAACTGCCATGTGGATGCTGGGAATTGAACCCAGGTCCTCTGGAAAAGAAAGCAGCCAGCTCTCTCAAACACTGAGCCATCTCTCAAAAGTCGGAAGTCAACATCATCCTGCCTCAGACTCCCAAGTGTTGGCATTATAAGCATTCTCTTGCACTGGTGGATTTCCTGGACCCTCGTGACACTCAGTTCTAGGCTATGCCTTGGAATGACCCAGAGAGTTCTAGAATGCTGATGCTCTCGCCCAGACTTGGGGGGTCTTCTGAAACTGGTCTGGGGTTCAGCTTAGAGACCATTATTATACTTTATCGTGATGCTGGGGGTTCACTCTCTGGCAGGCTCAGCACCTGATGCTGATGATAGCGTACTATCATCAAGATGCACCTTTAACCCACAAGGGACCTTGGCTTTTAAAAGCCACCGATGGTTTCTATGTCCAGGCAAGGTTTTGAACCATATTGTTAATGATCGACTGCTAAGAGGTACAAGAGAGACAGCAGGCTAGACACCTAATACATAAGATTTATTTGTTTGTTTGATTTTGAAGTAGAGGCTTCACTCTGTTGCTCAGGCTGACCTTGAACTCTGAGCTCACGCAATCCTTCCTGTCTGGGATGCTAAGTAGATGACCTGGATATAATTTGCTGTGTTTGAAAATGTGTCCATTCTATATTCTCCTGTTGACTGATAGATAATATGTGCACAGGATTCTAGGTTGGCAAATACTTTCTGCCAATATTGTTAATATAATTCTCATCACTGTGTTTCTAAACCAGAGAATGTTGTTGAGAGGTTCAAGGTCACTGTGTATATGTGTGTGTGTGTCAGTCTGTCTGTCTGTCTGTCTGTCTCCCTTCCTCCCCCCCCCCCACAATTACAGGCAATTAGGCAACACACATACAAATTATTAGGCAATTCTTTTGTCATTGATCTCTGTAATATATCCTACTTATTTACTTGTTTATTTTTTAGATAGAGGTCATGGGAAGCAGAGAGAGGTTAGAAGCAGAGAAGCAATATCACAGAAGCCCTCTCGTCCCAGGGTCCAGAAAGAAGTCTCTCTTTCTCTCTCTCCTCCCTTCTTTCTCAGTGTATGTGTGTTGATTTTTCTTTCTATAAGAATGTAGATATAACCATCTTGTTCCCAGAGTCCTAAAATTTCCCAGTGGTGAGCTTTGGTGTGGGCTTATTTCTATCTTATTGCAGGTTCTTGGTGGGTCTTTTGCATTGAAAACTCAAGACTTCTTATGTCTGGTACACACATACCACACAAACACACACCACACAGAGACACACCACGTACAGACACACACTGAAACACACCTCACATACAGATACACGCTACACACACCACACACAAACATACACATGCAAACACACCACACACACCACATACAGACACACACTGAAACACGCCACACATACACCACACAGAGACACACCACATACAGACACACATCACACAAACACACACATGCAAACACCACACACACACACAGCCTTCTTCCTTTTGCTGTCATCCACATCATCTGGATGTTGGGCCTGGGACTCATGCTCCCCCTCTCTTCTCTCATTTTTCATCTCCTCTTGCTCTTTCTGTCTTGTTATTTGCTTGCCTTTCTTGTTATTTGTCTTTTTACTTGTGTGCACGAGTGTTTTGTCTGCTCACACATTTGTGTACCGAATGGATACTGGGTGCCCATGGAGGTCGGAAGGCCTGGAGTTAAAGATGTCTGTGAGCCCACATGTGGGTGCCGGGAACTGAACCTGGGTTCTCTGCCAGAGCAAGAGCTCTTAAACCACCGAGTGCCATCTCTCCAGCTTGCTTTTGTTTCGTTTTTTTTAAACAGGGTCTCATATAGCTCAGGCTGCCTGGTGCTCACTATGTAGGTGGCCTTGAAATCCTGATCCTCTGGCTTCCACCCCCTGATGGCTGGGATGACAGGCCTGTGCCACCAAACCTGTTTTTATACGGTGTTGGAAATCTAGCCCAGAACTTCCTGTCTTCCAGGCAAGCACTCTGCCTCTGGGCTGTGTCCCCAGCCTGGTTCTGTTTTGGTTCTTCATGTCTAATGGAGTCTTTTCATTTTCAAGTGTTCTCTTTGTTCTCCGAATACCCTGCCAACGCCTTATACGGCCCCATCCCAAAGTAGTCCCTGTCTTGTTTCTGCCACGTAGCAACTTCTCTTACCTATGTGGAAACGCTGGATAAATTTGTGGGCGGGATTCTTTCTCCACGCAGTCGGGGTTCTCTCCAAATGGAACCCTCCCTCTCCCATTTGTCCGTTTTGACTTTCTGCTCATCTTTTGTTGTTGTTGTTGTTGTTCTTTTCAGTACTGAGGATTTACTTCGGGCCTTGTATATGCCAGGCACATGCTCTGATACCAAGCTGTACCTTGGTTCAGCTTCCTTATTCTGTAACAGAGTTTTCTCAGGGTTCATCCTCAGACATCCAGTCACGTCACACACTTTCTGAGCTGTTCTGGTACAGGAGTCTCCGCTGGGCAGTTCACTGGGAGGCTCTCCTGATGTCACCATCTCAGGTATCTTTTGCTGAGACTAGGTAGTTTTTCTAGCAAGATTTCCTAGCCTGCTGCCCAGAAGGTGAAGGCTGCCTGTCAGGCTTCTAGGAGCCTGGTGGGAGAGCAGGCCATTGTGGTGGGGTGGGTAAGTGTGAGCAGCTTGTGTGCAGTGAGGTGTGTATGTGTCTCAGGACCACAATGGGTGTGGCCACACAATGGCCATTAAGTTCTTCCTTCCACCCCCCCCCCATCTTTAATGGTGCCTAATGGCCCCAGGGCAAAGGGCAGCTTCAGAAAGTAAAATTCCAATACCAACAAGACACCCAACCAGCAAAGTCCCTGAACATTGCTCTCTGATGACCGCCGGGCATGGCCACTTCCTCCATGTCCCCATCACCTGGTCTGAGATGCCCCCTTTTCTCCTCTAGACCCTAAGGCCTCTACCCTAGACCATCCATGTCTTACTGACTCCCATTCTCCCTGGATCCTGGAACTGGAGAGCCTCTGTGATTTCCCTGCTTCTCTGCTTCCCGTGGCCTCAAGATGTGGCCCAGTTCTTCCTCTGGGATCCCTATGAAGGTTTCTACTTCCCTTGCTTCTGTCTGTAGCCCCTTCCGACATCCACAGCCCTATCCAAACCCCCAGCTCCTCGCCTGACTCACCCTTTAGACACAGCCCTGTAATCAGACCTTTTATAGGTCTTAACCACACCCCTTCTTCTGAGGTTGCCTGTTCTCCTTGGGACCCTTCAGGGAAAATCTGTATGTCCCTGGTGTCGCCTGTGCCAGTGCCAGTACCTGGCACCCAGGATGTACTGAATTGCATGGGGCAGCAGAGGCCATTGCCACTTGCATCTCCGGAGAGCTTTGTTCGGGTAGCTAACTATGAGGGGACGATGCATTGAACCCAGGGAGCCAGCCCTCGGGAGTGAGCATGCTCCCCATCCCCAGAGCCTCTACAGTGCATACAAGCAAAGGGTAACAATGGAGAGGCAGCCTCCCAAGGGCTGAGTATACTGGATGCAACCCCAACTTCTCTGCAGGATCACTAAGTGGAGACCTTCCCAGAGAGGAGGCTGTTCCACCCAGTCACCTTCCTTCCCCAGTAAACGCTAGAAAGCCCCTTGTCCAGTAGCAGGGCCGGGGAGTAGTAGGTACAGGCATGTTCTGGTGAGAAAAGATGGGAGAAGAACTGGGCTGTTGCCAGGATAGGGCGCAAAGTAGTCCCAGAGCCCACCCAGAAAGGAGCGTCACCACCGCTAACTGTAGTGGTGTGTCACAAGCCAGAAACTGCAGATTCAGAGTGAGAGCCCCACAGCTCGCAGGCAGCTGTGTTAGACTGGGGGACCTCTTGGCCTCTCTACCTACCCTGGGGAGGCTTTGGAAAGACAATGCCTCAGGGGCTCTTTTGGGTGGCTTTGCAGAGCCTGGGGATTAAGACAAGAGCTCCCTTCCCTGGCATTCAATGGTTTCCAGAACCCCAGAGCTGGACAGGGCAGGAGGCAGGGTGGGGCATCCCTAGACATTGGCGGGGCACTGGGAGGCGGGGCAAGCCTCACAACACTCTCCTATGGCTTCTTTTCCAGGAACTGGTGCCCTTATCAGAAGTCTAGACTGGTCACCTTCGTAGCTGCTTGCAAAACAGAGAAATTCCTGGTGCATTCACAGCAGCCGTGTCCACAGGGGGCTCCTGACTGCCAGAGAGCCAAAGCCATGTGAGTGGGGTGGGCAGGTCACTTTCCAGGCCCAGTGGGCTGGCCAGAGGTGCTGAGCCCCTGCTTTCTTCCTCAGGTACCGAGTGGCCCAGAAGCCAGTGTACCGCGTCCAACAGAAGGTGCTGGTCTCTGTGGCCTGGAGATGCTGCCCAGGCTTCCGGGGTCCAGACTGCGAAGACTATGGTAGGGCTCCCCAAAGTCCCCCTTAACCCCTGCTCCCAGAAATCATGCTGATCCTCTGACTTCTGGACTCAATACACCATGCTTCTCTCTGCAGATCCCACAGCAAACCCTGAGCCCACGGAGCCAAGTGGTGAACTCCCGGGGACTTGGGACCAGCTGGATGGCTTTGAACTTGGTACATTGCTTTCCTGTATTAACAGAGCTCGTGGGTCTACTTCTTCCTCCTCTGACAGGAAGTACCAAACTTTACCCTTGAAAGAATCAGCATGTGTTTCCTTGCGGTTCTGCACTGTTCTCTGGGGAACAGGCTCCCAGGGTCCTCAGCTACTACCTGGGACTGATACCTGTCCCCTTTCCTAACCCCATTTTTCTTGGAAAGCTGGCTTTGCCAGGTTCCTTTCCTACCCCTTGACCTACAAAAGTTCCTAGGCGTGGAGGAAGCGTTTTTGACACTCTTGCACATTGCCCCCTCTCCCAACTCCAGGACCTGGTCTCAGCCTTAAACACAAAAGAACTGATTTAACAACTTAAACACTTATGAACTGATTTCAAGGGTGGGATAGGGGATGCATGTCCTTATCTGATCAGCTATCTTTTAGTTAGAGCTGCGGGGAATGACGTGGTGGCTAATAGCGGAGAGATACGTGTTGACTGATCAGTCACGCTTGCTGTGGGTGTGGGAGCAAAGGTGATGGCGTAGAGAGCTGCATTTGTCCTTCTGAAGCTAATGGCTTCTAAGCTCCAGCTCCAGGAGGGCCAACATATTCGCTTGCTCTGAGTCCCAAGTCTTTTCTTGACTGTATTGTCTGCCCAGGCCTGGTGAGTTCGCCTTAAACATGTCTGATATGTTTTCAGGCCACTCTGTCACAGAGTTCAGTGAGATTAAGGAGCCACGGGGACAACGGGAACACCTGCTTCAAAATCTCCAGAACGATGCCCAGTTGGTAGAAGATGGCATCCCAGGCCCTTGGGACGCCCTGGCCAGCAACCTCACAGCTGAGACGACAGAAACCAATCAAACAGAATTCGGTGAGTAGCAGCCCACAAGAAGGCACAGACTACAGAGGCCCTTACTCTCCCTGCCTGGGAAGGGGTGTCTGCTGCCACAGACGTGTGTAAAACATGGTATCTATTGCAGAGTTTTCTGGAGGGCTGTCAGAGCAGCCCCTGCAGCCCCTGCAGCCCCTACAGCCCCATGTCGACGCGTTTCTGCAAGCCCACGTCGGTCCCATCTGGAAGAGCTTCAGTGAGAGCTTGCACAGCCTCTCCCAGGCTATCAGGAACTTGTCTCTCGAGGTGGAGGCCAATCGCCAGGCTGTCAAGACGGTCCAGGAGGACACCGTGACCAGGGCTGACCTCCAGGAGCTTGGTGCCAAGTTTGATGCCAAGGTCCAGGAGAATAACCAGAGAGTGGGCCAGCTGTGGCAGGATGTGGAGGAACAGCTGCATGCCCAGCGCCGTTCCCTGCACCATGCCCTCTCCGAGGTGCAAACTGAGATGAGCACCAAGTTGAAGCAGCTTGTCAAGGCTCAGGAACTCCCAGGGGCCAACGGTAGCCTGGTGGTGGCATCCGCTGCAGCGGCGGCAAGGCCAGAGCCGGAGAGCCTGCAGGCCAGACTGGGCCAGCTGCAGAGAAACATCTCTGCTCTGCACAGGATCATGGATCAGAGGGAGGAGGCGCTGCAGGGCACCCTCAAGAACATGGACAGTGTCCTGAGCCGGCACGTAGATGAAATCAAGGAGCTGTACTCTGAATCAGATGAGACCTTCGATCAGATCAGCAAGGTCGAACGGCAGGTGGAGGAGCTGCTGGTGAACCACACGGGGCTCCGAGAGCTGCGGGTGATCTTGATGGAAAAGTCCCTCATCATGGAAGAGAACAAAGTGGAGCTGGAGGAGCAACTATTGGAGCTAAACCTCACTCTGCAGCATCTGCAGGTGGGCCATGCAGACCTCATCAAGTATGTCAAAGACTGCAACTGCCAGAGGCTCAACTCTGACGTGGACGTCATCCGGGAGGGCCAAAGAGACGCCACGCGCACCCTGGAAGAGACCCAGGTGAGCCTGGATGAGCAGCACCAGCTAGACGATTCTTCTTTACGGTCGTTGCAAAGCACTGTGGATGCCATGTCCTCAGCGATGGACGAGCACAAAGGAGAGAGCGAGCGGGCACGGGCCGAGAGGGCCAGGATGCGAAGCCAGCTGCGGACGCTGGAGCACGCGGTGGAAGCACTGAAGACTGTGGCGAACCAGACCCGCAGAGAGATGCGCCAGCTGCATAGTTCCTTTGCAGCCCTTTTGGAGGATGCACTGCGGCACCAGGCGGTGCTGACCGCCCTCTTTGGGGAAGAGACGATGGAGGAGATGTCGGAGGAAGCGCCTCGCCCTCTGCCCCTGAATTATGATCAGATCCGCCTCGCCCTGCGGGATGCCGCCAGTGGGCTGCAGGAACAGGCGTTTGGCTGGAATGCCTTGGCCACTCGAGTGGAGGTCTTGGAGCAGGCCGTGGAGCAGCACCCACAGTTGGCAGAACAACTGGAACCCAGCCACGATCCTGGAAGGGAGGAGGAAGCCACGGCTTTGGCCAACCTGGAGCAGGAGATTCAACGCCTAAACTCTGATGTCAAGCAGGTTGGGCGATGCTGTGAGGCCTCCTGGGCTGCCTCCCTCAACGGATCCCTTGAAGACCTACACAGCATGGTTTCTGACACCCGGCACAGCCTGAGACAGCACCAGCAGCTCTTCCACGGCCTTTTCCAGAACTTCCAAGAGCTGATGGCAAACAACATTAGCCTAGACCTGGGTAAGCTGCATGCCATGCTAAGTAAGAAAGAGAAGAAGCAGCTGAAGGGCCTGGGGGCCTCCCGGAAGAGGGAGAAGAAGCAAGTGGTGATGTTGGCAGATGCACAAGCCAAAGGGATGGAGAAAGGTGTTCTGGACTCAGAGCTCTGGGAAGCAGGTGAGTGTCGGGGCCCGGAGACTGACTGTGTGAATCTGGGACATAGTTATTTGCCTACCCAGCAGCTCCCTTCTCCTGGGGGAGGTGGAGGCACAGGGTGCAAGAAGGCAGGATGATGGTTGGTTACCGCTACTCAGGGGGCTACCTACCTTTTCCTTCTCTTCAGGGCTATGGGTCTCTTTGTTTGTTTGAGACAGGGTTTCTTTGTGTAGCCCTGACTGCCCTGGAACTTGTTGTAGACTAGGCTGGTCTCTAGCTCACAAAGATTGGCCTGCCTCTGCCTCCTGAGTGCTGGGATCAAAGGTGTGAGCCACCACACCAAGTGGTCATGAGCCTCTTAAGCTCCCTGGAGTACAGGGAGGTATAAGTCTCAAAAATCAGTTGTAGTTCTGGAGCCCATGAGTTGGCAGAGGTCCTAGCCATGAGCAGAGTAGGATGTCTCAACTCTTCACCCTCATCCCAGTCCTTTGTCTTTCGTAAGTTCACCCCTGTACTCTAGGGAGGGTGGATTGGGGCAGGGATCATCTATAAGGGCAGTACCCCACAAGAGGTGAATACAGGAACCAGCCTTATACTCAGAAGGAAGGGACATTTTTTGTTTGTTTGTTTGTTTGAGACAGGGTTTCTCTGTAGCTTTGGAGCCTGTCCTGGAACTCCCCCTGTAGATGAGACTGGCCTCAAACTCACAAGAGATCCGCCTGCCTCTGCCTTCTGAGTGCTGGGATTCTACCGCGTGGAAGGAGCTTTCTTAGTAAATGCAGTAGGAATATCCTGTGGCTTCGCTTCAGGCATTCTTTATCAGCACATCTTACTTGAAACTGAGGCTCCAGCCCAGGAAATGACCTCACCCAAGTAGCGAGGGCTCTCAGGTGCAGGAAGCGCACAGAAGACCCCTGAGGGGCCGCCTACACTGCAGCTTTGTCGCAACACCTGAGGGCTTCCTTTCCCCCAAAGCAAGCGGGAACCTGGGCATTTCCCCCGGCAATCGCCAGCATTTCCAGAGAGCCACATGCGCTTGCACTAACTCTTCCATCTCTTCTTTCGCTTGAGAGCGATACAAGCCCCAACAGGCCGACTTTCACCACTTGCTTGATAAGCTTAGGAGTCTGTTTACTCCGGCAGTATTTTTTCTTTAACTTCGGGGAATAATTTCCCCCTTTAAAAGCCCTGTTATTGCAAGAAGGCCATAGAGCTTGCATTTGCGCCCCACAGGCACAAACCCTCAGTTTGCACTGCCCTTCCATCTTCTGAAGTCCACTGGGTCTCCCGCTATGGGGGACTCCCCGTTGTAGGCAGGTTGAAAGAAGAACCAGGAGCTCCACCTGCTGGATGCTTCAGGGACTGAAACACCAGCCCTCAACAGTCCCTGCGGCACAAACAGGAAGGGTATTCATAAACAATTCCCCTAACGTCTTCCAGACATAGAGAGAAGCAAAATCTTGTCATTCCTAAGGCTATTTCTGGATTTGGAGGCAAAGAGACGGATTGTAGTCTGAGACTTCAGTCGCTGTTTTGCCAGTTTCTTTTACGTCTTGGTTCTGTTTTCTGAGAAACGGGAGGGCTTACACGGAGGTTGGGGGAGGAACTCCCAAGAGGACCCTGCTAGGGTGGTCTCACTTCCTGGACTCCAGTAAGGTCCTTTGTCCCATCCTCTGGCCATCAGTTCATCTGAACTTCTTAAACAGGAGGGGTAGCAGGTACCCTTCCTCTTGCACAAGGTAACAAGGGGTTACCCTGCCTCTAATTTCAGCAGGATTGCCCTTTTGCAAGTGAGAAAGACAGGAGAGCGCCCCAAATCAAGAAGGCCCAAGCTCTGCTCTCTGCTTGTGTGGTCTGGATCATCAAACTGTCCCTTTAAAACTTCACTTTCCCCATATGCCACGCTAGGGCTCTGTGCAGCGTTTTTGAAACCATTAAAGCGATTAACCAGGGCTGGAGAGATTGCTCAGCAGCTAAGGGAACTGACTGCTCCTCCAGAGGACCTGGGCTCAATTCCCAGCACCTACATGGAAGCTGATAACTATCTATAGCTTCAGTTCCAGGAGACCTGGAAACCTTTTCTGGCCTCTGTGGACACCACCCATGCACATGGTACAGACATGAATACGAACAAAATGCCCGAACACATAAAACAATAATAATTGGGCTGGAGAGATGGCTCGGAGGTTAAGAGCTCTGGCTGTTCTAGAGATCCTGAGTTCAATTCCCAGTAACTACAGGTAGCTCATAACCATCTGTAATGAGATCTGGTGCCCTCTTCTGGCGTGCAGGCATACATGCAGGCAGAACACTATATACATAATAAATCTTTAAAAAATAAAATAATTACAATGTAGTGAATAGCCAGATGGGGTCCCCTTGCTCAGGAAAAGGTCTTACTCTGTAGCTCAGATTGACTTAAAAATCAAGATTTTACTGCCTCAGTCTCCTATGTTAGAATTACAAGTGTGGACTACCATGTTAGAATTACAGGTGCGGACTACCATGTTAGAATTACAGGTGTGGACTACCATGTTAGAATTACAGATGCGGACTGTCACGTTAGAATTACAGGTGTGGACTACATGTTAGAATTACAGGTGTAGACTACATGTTAGAATTACAGGTGTGGACTGTCATGTTAGAATTACAGGTGTGGGCTACATGTTAACAGGACAGGTGTGGACTACCATGTTAGAATTACAGGTGTGGACTGTCATGTTAGAATTACAGGTGTGGACTACATGTTAGAATTACAGGTGTGGACTACCATGTTAGAATTACAGGTTTGGACTACCATGTTAGAATTACAGGTGTAGACTACATGTTAGAATTACAGGTGTGGACTACATGTTAGAATTACAGGTGTGGACTACATGTTAGAATTACAGGTGTGGACTACCATGTTAGAATTACAGGTGTGGACTACCATGTTAGAATTACAGATGCGGACTGTCATGTTAGAATTACAGGTGTGGACTACATGTTAGAATTACAGGTGTGGACTGTCATGTTAGAATTACAGGTGTGGACTACATGTTAGAATTACAGGTGTGGACTACCATGTTAGAATTACAGGTTTGGACTACCATGTTAGAATTACAGGTGTAGACTACATGTTAGAATTACAGGTGTGGACTACATGTTAGAATTACAGGTGTGGACTACATGTTAGAATTACAGGTGTGGACTACCATGTTAGAATTACAGGTGTGGACTACCATGTTAGAATTACAGATGCGGACTGTCATGTTAGAATTACAGGTGTGGACTACATGTTAGAATTACAGATGCGGACTGTCATGTTAGAATTACAGGTGTGGACTACATGTTAGAATTACAGGTGCGGACTGTCATGTTAGAATTACAGGTGTGGACTACCATGCCTGGCTTGAGGGGGTTTCTCCTTCCTTTTTCTTTATGCTCTTGTGCCCTCATCCAGTAAGAACCTCCATTCCTGCTCCTATCTCCCAGTGTTAACGTTATTTTGAAGGTAATACTCTCTTCCACAGATATCTCAAGATTCCCAGCAGGTATGTGCTAGGGGTATGACTTAGTAATAAGCACTTGTCCTAGCATGTGTGAGGCCCTGTGTTCCATCCCTGGCCTGATTTGGAACACAGGAAGGATCCTTGGCAGGTAGCACACACCTGGGCGTTGGATGCCCCAGTTTCTAGCACAGCCCACCAAGGTGTGAGCCTTGGGTAGCCAAAGACTCCTCTCTAGATAGATGAAAGGATGGGATCAAAGGAGAAAGTACTTTTTTTAATCAGCCAGTCTCCCCTTCTCCCCCACTCTGAAATCACATTGTCTGAGACAGACACCTTCGGGAATGTTGAAGATGTCTAGAGATAGTGTCCTGCTTGTAGTGCGATTAAGGTGAAGAAGGCAGAGTTTGCGAGGGAACGGATAACTCACTGAGTGTTTTCCTTTCTCAGGCTCCCCTGTGGCCTTCTATGCCACTTCTTCAGAGGCAGCAACCGCCCTGCAGATGGTGAAGTTTAGCACCACTTCCATCAATGTGGGCAGCAGCTACTTCCCCGAACATGGATACTTCCGAGCCCCGCAACGTGGTGTCTACTTGTTTGCAGTGAGCATTACGTTTGGCCCAGGTCCAGGCACGGGGCAGCTGGTGTTTGAAGGTCATCACCGGGTTCCAGTCTACAGCACAGAACAGAGGGGTGGGAGCACAGCTACTACTTTTGCTATGTCAGAGATGGAGAAGGGTGAGAGGGTGTGGTTTGAGTTGATCCAAGGGTCAATAACAAAGGGGAGCCAACCACACACTGCATTTGGGGGCTTCCTGGTGTTCAAGACCTGAACCCTGGGTCCAGCTCGCTTGCATCAGACATGGTAAACTCGCCTGCTGTCCGTAGACTGGAGAACACGTAGTGGTCTAGCTCTTCCCTGGGTACCCACAAAGGTCCTGCCGTAGGCAGCATGTATCTTCTTTTGGACACACAGGCTGGGGGAGGCCAAGAATGCTGCTCCCTGGACTATACCTGGAGCGGGAGCTGGGCTTCTCACGCCTTCCCCCAATGGCATGGCTTGTCTTGGCTCTAAGCCATTCCCTCAATTCCGCAACTTTGTTTTGTTGGTATTTTTCTCCTTGTGTGGTTGGAAATTTCTGTACAATATTTAAATCTTTTCCTCTTTCCTGTGTCAGAAAGTCATTGTTTCACAGAAAGAGTGTTTACAGGGAAGGTGACAGGCCAGGCGTAGCTCATTGTGTTTGGCCCTGGATTCTTTTTCTAATACCTCAAAAAAACTTGAAAAGGAAAAAAAGGATCTTTTTTTTTCCTTTCTGAAATTGGAAACAAGTCTCCAATGACTACAGGAAAGCTAGTTAAAAACCAGCCTTTCTGGTCACAGAAGGGAGCTAATGGTTGCTTCAACCAACTGTGGGAAATGAAATTAGTTATCTCTTGGCTGGGAATGCAGCTTGACCTGGATTCAGTCCCCAGCACTCTATAAACAGGCATGGTGGTTACACACCTGCGATTTCAGCACATGGAGGAGGCAGGAGCATCAGAAGCTCAGGGCCATCCTCACATTTGTGACAGTTCAAGGCTAGCTTGGGGTAGAAGTGACAACAAAAGGAGTAAGGAGTTAAATTTTGTTGTTGGATTTTCGAGACAGGGTTTCTCTGTAGCTTTGGTGCCTGTCCTGGAACTAGCTCTTGTAGACCAAGCTGGCCTTGAACTCACAGAGCCACGTGTGCCACCACCACCTGGCTTTTTTAAGTCACCCTTTGTCTTTTATTTGTATATTTAATTTTCATTACATGTCTTTTCCTCCTTGCTTCACTCAGTATAGAGGCCAAAAGACATCAACCAAGGACAACACTTGGTATGGCCTTTGCCCCTTTCATTCTCCCACTGCTCAAAACAGCCTCCCCAGCATCTCTAAGGGGGAAGGAGGGAAACTAACCTCCCCTGGTAACGGACCAATTTTGTAATAAAGTGATGCCCTCCAAAGCGTACTGCCTGCTTACTGCTGGAAAGGGAAACATTTGGTGAAGCACTTGGGGGTACAGGACAAAATGAAACTAGGGCAACCCCGACTCGTCATTCTAGGCATCTTGACTATTAACACTCAGTTTATTCTTCATCTGTCTAGAGGCCTCCTCACTAGGTAGTGACAGTCATTGGACAGGACAGAACAGAATGGCAGTGTTTTCTGCAGCACCCATATGTGGCTTACAAGTCTCTAGACCCCTACAATAGGCTCAAGAGAGCAGCCACACAGCCATAAGAGAATAAAGCAGGCTTTCGGTAGAGCTCAGTTGACTCTGAACATCCTCTCTCCGCATTAATGGGATTTGACTTGGTAACCGGTTGCCAGCTCTTCTCATTGCTTGCTGGCATCAATTCAAATAATTGACCCTCAGAATTAATTTACTGCTAAGCTTTGTGCTCAGGTGTCAGTGTTAGATGAACAGTAATCCACGCTACTCTGTTGCTGATGGTTTGACCGTGGGCTACACCACAATTCTAAACACGAACATATCTGTCTCAAGATGGTTACGCTCTCATCTAGGGTTCCCAAACTCTGTGATCTTGGCCATATGTCTGAATCTCACTCCCCTCAGTGCAGCTCTCAGGTTATCGAGGACTATTCCTAAGCCAGGGCATATGTAGTTGGGCCTGGGGTGCCATGTGTGTGGCAGGTCACCCTTGTGCTCAGCAGACCTGGCAGTCTTGTGCCCCATAATGCTGTCACTGGCCAGTCCCTTTGGAGGGCTAAATTGGGATATTAAGGCAATGCAGTCTTAGCCCCGAGGACTTCCATTCCGAGTTCTGGCATATGAGACACAGTGTGAATCAGTCTCCCTCCCCCGAAGGGAACAAATACAAACACAGTGGGTCATCCTCCACCACCCCTGGAGGAGGCAGCTGCTAGAGTGAGGAGAAATGATGGTTCTCTTCAGCATGGGTGCTTACTATGCACTGAAACATAGATTACATTGGACAATGCCTTCACATCAAGTTTAAGCCATATTTTTTGTTTAGACGGTTCTATGATTAGGACCCCAAATCAGAAAAAATGTTATGTATGTGTGAACACAAACACACTTGTGTAAGTGGGTGTGATGTACGTGTGCAGGTGGGTGTGTACATGTGTGTGGATGCTCTGGGTATTCTTAGTCACTCCACACTTTTTCCATTTTCTGAGACAAAGTTTCTCTGTGTATCTCTGGCTGTCCTGGAACTCACTCTACCGACCAGGCTAGCCTCGAACTCAGAGATCCCCTTGTCTCAGCCTCCTTAAGTGCTGGGATTCAAGGTGTGGTCCACCATGGCCTGGCTGTACCTTAATTTTTGAGGTGGGGTCTCTAACTGAACCTGGAGATCGTTAGTTTGGCTAGGCCGCCTGGCCAATGAGCTCCTCCTGCCCGTGTCCCCGCAGATACACAATGTACCCTGCCTTTTACACAGGTGCCTGGGGGGGCCAAGTCTAGGTCCTCATGCTTGCATGGCAGACACTTTACCAAGTGGGCCACCTTCCCAGCACCAGGTCAGTAAGAACTACAATTTTTTTTTTTTTTTTTTTTTGACAGAGTCTCATCTGTTTGAGATAGCTGCTGCTGGGTGGGAACTTCCCCAGTGCTCTGCAGGGAGACACGAGACTGACTCGGGGCAGCTTGAAGCCCCTGAAATAGCTATGTAAAAGCACCAGAGCTGCACCAAGATGGCTTAGTGATTCTCTGAAGATAGCAACATGGAATCCTAACCCCAAATATTAGCATTGCTAGAGAGCCTCAAGCTTAAACTGCCCCAAATACTTGGGAGTTCTGGAGCAGAACTATGCAGCCAGCCCTAAGCCCAATACTGGACAGCTGCTGACCCTCTGGAGGCGAAGAGCTGAACCACAGGCGACCTTATATAGTCTTGGATAGATACACAACACCTTTTACCTGAGGATACAGTCTAAGAGGTGTTCAGAAGTGGTGTGGCATCCTAGGAGAGCCCTTGGTTAGCATGCACGAGACTCTGGGTGATGAGAGCGGCATTATTAAAGGCTCCCTCTCCTATTTGATGACTCATCTGTCAAAAGCATGAAAGCTCTTCGCCTGGCTTTAGCCTGAATTTTCCATCCTTGATCAGGAAAACTCCAGTGACAGAATTCTCTGGAATTCTGGTTTAAAACAAAAAGGTGTGGGGGAAAGCCAGAATCATTTGGAGCAGACAAGATGAGGATTGTTTTTGATTTTTTTTTTTTTCTAACTGGTCCTGTCCCATCACCTGCCCTTACTGGGAAGCTGAGGCACTCAGGGAGATGAGGACAGGTTAATGCAATGATGAACAACTCTACCCCTTGCCAAACATCTGTGGAAAAGTACAGTCGTGCACAAGACCCCAAACTTCACAAATTGAAGATCTGGGAACATGGAACATCTTTAGAAATGAGGGAAGTTGTTTTTTTCTAAAAATCTGTGTTGCCTCCTCATATGTGGCAGGCAAGTGTTCTATCACTGAATCCCATCAGCAGCCCCGGAAAGTGGAAACATAAACCAGGCTCATTGCCATTCAGGGCTTAATTCTGAATCCATCCAACCCTGGTGAAATGGCTGGCCCTATGCTAGGGGCTTAGAACCTCCAACGTATCAAGCAAGAAGTGTTCAAAATAGGAAAGGCATGTGTCAAACAGACACGTGTGAGTCCATCTGAGCATAAAAGCACAATGGCCCAATGGGATATAACCCAATAAACAGGAGCCTAGGAGTCCATACTGAAAAGCTATATAAGGAAAGTGCTTCCTCACGCCACAATGTCAATGGAAACCGAATAGAATAATGATGGCACCAGAAAATCACCTTGCAGCCGGGTGGTGGTGCATGCATTTAATCCCAGCACTCGGGAGGCAGAGGCAGGCATTTCTCTGTGAGTTCGAGGCCAGCCTGGTCTACAGAGTGAGTTCCAGGACAGGCTCCAAAGCTACAGAGAAACCCTGTCTTGGAATACAAAATAAAACAACAGAAAAAGAGAAAGAGCCGGGCAGTGGTGGCACACACCTTTAATCCTAGCACTCGGGAGGCAGAGGCAGGCGGATCTTTGTGAGCCAGTCCGGTCTACAAGAGCTAGTTCAAGGACAGGCTCCAAAGCTACAGAGAAACCCAGTCTTGAAAAACCTAATAAATAAATAAATATTAAAAAAAAAAAAAGCAACTACCTATACACAAGTACTATGTAGTCCAAAGCATCCCCCTTAATGCACTCAATACAAACAGAAGGGCAACTTTACAGAAACAAGCTATCAAGATGTTCTGTTAGTTTTATGTTAACTTGACACAAGTTAGCCAAATGAGAAGAGGGACTCTCAATTGGGAACATGAAGGCGTAAGTCACAAACAATGCCATGCCAGTTTGGAATTATGATTAATAGGGTGGTATTTATTTAAAGAGGAAAAAACTTACAGATCACCGTCCCAGACAACAGCACTCTGCGCAAACAGGGAGTCTATTCGCCAGTAGCGCAGGAAGTGAAGAGAGAGAGTGAAGTAGCCGCTCTTTTAAAGGGAGAGAGACCACGCCCCAATGGGCTGGTATCTCAGCAGCTATTGGTTGGAGGGGCGGAAGGACCTCCCACAACAGGAACTTGCCTAAAAATTGCCTATAGGCAAGTCTGTGGTGATCTTCTAGGAGGGCCCAGCTCACTGGAGGCAATGCCACCCCGGAAATGTGGTCCTGGATAGTATTAAAACAAACAACAGGCTGAACAAGCCATGAGGAGCAAGCCAGCAAGCTGTACTTCTCCATGATCTCTGCTTCAGTTCCTGCCTCCAGGTTCGTGCTGACTTCTTTCAGTGATGGGCTGTGATATAAGTGTAAGCTAAGTAAACTCCTTCTTCCCCAAGTTACTTTTGGTCTCAATACTTTATCACAGCCGCAGAAACCCTGACCCACACAGGAAATAAGTGGCTGGCACTGACGTTAATGCCGCACTGACGCCAGAGAATCTCGCTGGGATGCACGGATGGCACAGGGGCTGCCAAACTCAAAATCAGTTTGAAAACACAGAGCAAGATCAGGTCCACCTCCCTAAAAAAAGTACTACAAAACATGTTTTATCTAGTAGAAGTACAGGAGACCCAAGGACTGAACACATTATACGATCCAGAGCATAGCACGAGCACGAGCACTTTATGAGAACT